AATGAATAAATGAATAAACTAATTTATCTTTCAAATATTTTTTACTCACTCGCTTATCATCTTGCATTATCAACTTTGACTTTGACAATAAAAATAGTAATCTTTTTTCATATCAAAAAGCAAATATAGAAACAATAATGTTTGTTTATCAAGTCATCTATCAATGGGACACATACACTGACTGTGTGGCCGTGTGTCGTGTAAAAGATCAGGAAAGTGTTCAAAATGAATGCTGCCGACAACAACATGGTCGATAGAATAGAAAGAACAGAATAATGTCTATTGTATGTAAGTCTCTGTTAGCTTCTGATTGATTATACATAAGTAATCACCAGGATTAAATCTTTTTATTTTCAAAGCTGTCTATATAGATTATAACTATTTTTTTGATATACATATATAATCAAATTATTTGGTAATACTTTCTATTTCATAAAATCTATTATCATCTTTAAACTATTATATACCTAATTTTTTTATTTATTTTTAAATAATACATTACCACTCAAATTTAAAAAAACAAAAAGATTTTTACAACATAAATAATATAAATAAATAAATAAATAAATAAAATATATTTTCTCAAAAAAAAACCATTTTATTTTTATATTATTATTTTATTATTATTTGATGAACCTATTACAAAATAAAGTGAAAATCGTTAATTAATTAACTCATAAATTATTGATTAATCTGTCAGGAAACATAAATTTTTTTTACCTGTAAAATCGTCTATAATTTTAACTTCCATTATCATCATCTGTATCTTTCTTTTGGTGTTGTTGTAATTGATTATCTTGATTTTTATTTATAGCATCATTGGTAACATCAACTGAATTTGTTCTTGATTTTTCTATTGGTAATGAATTTTTTGGAATTGGTAAATCACGAAGCCTTAGAAATTTACTTTCCAATACCATTGTTTTATTTTTATTGTCGTCGTCATCGCTGTCATCATTATTACTATTGCAATTACTGCTGCTGCTGCTGCTGCTGCTATCGCTGCTATTGCTACCACTATTACTACGACTAATGATCGTATGATTAAATCCTAGTTTATTTAATCGAAATTTTTCAGCTTCTAAAAATTGTTTGAATTCATTGGCTGCTTTATTAGCTAGTGTTTTTGATTTAGTACTATTGACACTATTGAAATTATTATTGCCATTATTATTATTATTATCATTGATATTATTATTATTAGCTGTGGTTGTAGATGTGGTTGTAGTTGTAGTGATAGCGATAGAGATAGTATTAGAATCAGATATTATTAGGTCGTAACCTTTCCACCTTGATGCTATTTCAAACAATTCGTCAATATTTGATCTGTTATTGATATTTGCATTCCAACATCTTTCCATTACCTTTATATAACAATCAGGTATACTATTATTGCTATTATAACTACCAATACTATTACTACTACCAATACTATTACTGCTATTAAGATTATTATTGCTATTATTATTAGTATTGATATTATTAATATTAGCATTAATTGTAGGTCTCAAACCGTTT